TATGTTTGCTTTCTCTGAGTCCAAATTCTTCCATCTGGAAAATGGAACCATAAGAAATATACTCTACAGTGTACTTAAAAGTAGCCTTTGGCATTTATTTTTTTCTCCACCATTATTGACGTTGCTGTTATCTTGTGTTTCTCATGTAGGTTAAGCTGGGCCACAGAATCAGGTATTAGATACACTTCTCCATGGAATAGTAATTCACCAAGTGCATAACAGGGAAAAATACATTGTATTGAATTACATATAATTTAGAATATGGAATACATCTATATTCAACCAAATGCATGTATTTGCCTGAAAGGGACAAATATAAGGAAAGTGCAAGACAAAGGTTTTTCATGTTGCATGTGACAGAAACCTAACTCAAACCAACGTAAGCAAAAAGGGGGAATTTTCTGAAAGGGCAGCTCATGGAATTAATGGAAAAGCTGGGGTAGCCTGAATAGTACGGTCTCGGGGACATGCTCCTGCCTTCCTAGCATGGGTCTCACGTGTGTCCCTTGACCATTCTCTGTGGCCAAAGGAAGGGGGCTGCCTAGCCGACCCAGCCTGGGCCTCCGGCCCACCCCTGTGGCCTGGGGGAACTGTTAGGTGGAAGGTCTATTTCTAGAACAGTGGGGAAGCAAGTGTGTTGAACATACCAAACACACACGACAATCCTCCAACTCAGAGAAACCAAAGGGAACACGTGAAACGATGAAAGCCTGATAAGGTGCTAAGAAGACCAACCGTTTAGGTATTTGCAGAAAAAGAAAAGAGAGTGTGAAGGAGAATTTCATAGAGCAAGTGAAATTTCACTTATTAATTTCAAATATTTATTGACTGTTGCTTCAGGGAGTACTCTAGCTCTGGGACTGTAGCAGGGAACACAATAGCCACCGAGTCCCTGCTGTCACAGGCTTCAGATGTACAGGTAGACCAGGGCGCAGTGCAGTGTGCTGTGACTAGGTGACCATAAATGTGGAGGAAAAGAAAATGAAGCTTAAGACATTCTTTGGAGTTGTTTCTTTTTTTAGAAATGAGAAAGGAAGAAAGGAAAAGCTTTAGGGGAGAGGAGAACCCAAATGAATTTTTTCCCAAAAAAGCAAGGAGTAAGGAGCAGTGTGTCCTAGTGGGGGATGACAGAGACGTGGGCCATGACACTGGAGGGGTGAGCTGGCGCTGGGTTCCAGGGGGATTTGAAAAGGAGCTAAGGGCGTTGGGAGTTGACTCGGACAGCAGCAGGGAGGCTTTAGAGATGCTCACACGGGGAGGGGCCGGGTGAAAGTGGGGTCGTAGGAAGGTTAGATTGACGGTGGCACCGGAGTGGACCGGAGGGGTGCGGAGGGCGGGTGTGGAGGCGGCAGGGACGAAGATGGGGGACCGAGCCCGGCCACGGAAGAATTGGTAACGTTTGGCAGTTACGAGAGACAGAGGGGAGGGCCTGAGAGAAAGAGCTGGAATCGGGCTTCGGTGCTGCCTCTGAGGTGTGGCTTTAGGTGCGTCACTCAATCTCTCAGGGACTCCAGTGCATTTCACCTGGAAAATGAACAGATGGGTAGTCTCTAAGGCGAATTCAAAAATAATCATTTTTTTTTTCTGGCAGAAATAAGAGCGTTGAGCAGGGGAATCCATTTAGAAGATAGTTCATGTTAGATGTGCTGATAAATCTGATGGAAAAATCATTATTCCTGAAACTTACAAATATATTTAAAGTGAATTTCTTGGATAATTTTGTAAGTGTATTTGTAACAGTGTCCATCGGAACAGAATTAACCTGTGCTGTTTTAAAGCGGGTGAAGATGAGGTCATCTTCCTGCACAGGTGATTGTCTTCAAAGTTTGCAGTCATTAATTCTTAGAATTTTTTTGACCTTATGTATCATCTATTGCTGCATAACACATTATTGCAAAATTAGCAACCTGAAACCACACACATTTATTTTCTCAGTTTTTCACGGACTCACGTGGCTAAGTCTTCTACTTGAGGGTCTCTTCACGTGGCCACAGTCAGAGCATCAGTGCGACGTGGGTCCCATCAGAAGGCTTAACCAGGGAAGGATCCACTTCCAGGATCATTGGTTGTTGGCAGGATTCCGTTTCTCGAGGGCTGTGGGCTGCCTCAGTTCCCTGCCGTGTTGGCCTCTCTAGCACGCTTGCTTCATCAAAGCCCCAAAGAGAGAGAGTCTGCTGGGAAGATGGAAGTTACGGCCTTACAGGCTAATCACAGAAGTGACACCCCATCCCCTTTGCTGTGTTCTGCATTAGAAGCAGGCCCGTAGGCCAGACCACCCTCAAGAGCAGGGGATCAGACAAAGGCGTGCACATCAGGAGATGGGGTGTCTTGGGGGCTAACGGTAAGAGCTGCCTACCAAACCTTACTTGAAAATTCTGTCCCTCTGCGGTCCTTGTTCTCACCCCTCTGCTGCAGGCTCAGCTCAGGCTTATTTAAGGCTGTGCCCAGAGTACTCTCACTCTTCATTCACCTTTTTTTTTTTTTTTCAAGAAACCAGGTCCTTCTGTGTCCCAGGCTGGAGTGCAGTGAGTTTTATTGAGTATTACTTTTATGCCCATTTTATAGATAAGGAAATGGAGTCATATGGAGGCAAATATACATGCCCAAAGACATATGGCCATGACTGACCTTAATACATACAATATTATACTTCTTCACTAAAAAAAACCACAAGCATACCCTTTTTTTCCTTCTTGATGTCACAGCGGGTCTTTTAAAAAATAAGGAGTGTAGGGGAAGACCCTGGGACAAGAAACCTAACGCACAAAGCCCAACCTTGGTAATCTTATTAACACCAGTACCTCCCTTAGGCCCAGAAGAGCCAGGCCCCAAGCCTCAGGGGGTCCTGCACTTTGGAGTGGCCTCCTAGAAAATGTCCAAGTCTCCCTATGGTCCCTAGGACCAGCCAGAGGCTGCAGAACCATTCGGGAATGGAGACCCAACTCAGACCAGGCCCCACTGAGCCCCATTCTTCCCTTTGGGCATCCTCTGATCCTTACCTTGCTCTGGGGTTGGCCAGTTGCTCTGGGGAGTTTTGAGACTCATAGCTACAGCGTCGATCTGGGGCGCTGTGGCTGGCGTGTGTTTTATTATGGAATCATGCCAGGCTGGTCCAGCAGAATGGTACTGACACACTGATGTGGGGTGACTTCTACCCCTGCCAGACATGGGAGAGTTCAGGACTCTGGGCCGCTGGGGGTCTACTGCTGACCCCGGGCTTGAGCATGTGCGTGAGCCTGTGCATTGGCTCCTGCCCCTCGTGGTCCAACGGTGCAGCTGCCTTTAATCTGCAGCACCTGAAGGCGATGAGGGTAGCAGCGAGCCTCTTTGCCCTGCGCACGGCTGCTGCCAGGGCGAGCCCCACGCCCTCCACACGCTGGCCACTCCTCCAGGGCAACAGCACCTGTCTCATCCAAGGGCTCACAGTACCCTTGCACGGTAAAGCCAGCAGGTCTTTCTGATCGATGTCCTCTCTTGCCTTCTATTGACATGGGTGACATTATGCTCCTCTGGGTTGGTCTTAAGCTGTGCCGGATGAGGGACAGCCATCACCTTGAGAATGGGACCCTTCTCTCTCTGCTCACCGCACTCATCCTCCCCACGGGGGGGAGGGGGCACGCACGGAAGGCAGAGGTGCAGTTGGAGGAGCTCTCATCCTGTGGACAGTGAATGAGGCCTTGAGGAGGTCAAGCAAAGCATGATGGGAGGACGCACAGGCCTGCGTGGATGCTGTGAAATTCCTGACGGTAAATGTGACGTGGCAAGAGGACAAACCATCATTCACAACTTCCCACATGGTGAGTGCCATCAGCAAGGCACAGTAACTATGAAAGCGTCATTGGCAGCCAGTACTGGCGGTCGTCACCGTGGATGACACAGCATCACCAGAGACACCAGCCAGAATTAAATACATGAAAGAAGAGTTACACTGTTTCATGATTCTGTGGCATACTGTGAATAATACCAGCACTGCTATCTTTTTCCTTTTGCGGGAGATGTGAAATTAGCCAGAAATGGGGCATTGGACAATGAAGAACACGAGAGAAATTTCCTGGACCTGAAGAGGAAGAGATGGTGCCTGGACACCACCAAGAAAGTCCAGGTGCAGCAATGGGACAATAAACAAGCACTTAAGTACTTCTTCTCTAACTGTAATTATAAGTCTTTATGATATATCACTATACCTCACGTGGCACCATGAATTTTGTAGCATTTTTTTTTTAATTTTATGAAATGTTTTTTAATTTCATAGACAATATAATACATACTGTGTAAGAAGCACATAATAGTTTTGCAGTACAATTTCAAAGTGTATACAAATTGGAATACAGAGGTTAAACACTGGTGTACTGATAGCATTTTGAACTTTAAACTGTATACAAAATTTACAATTCAAATATAAGCCAATCTGAAAACTTCACTTCCCATAATATAAAAATGATACTTTGCAATGCAAAAAAATTTTTTACTAAACAAACTATATAAACATTTAAAATAATCATCAAAAACTCAATGTTAGAATTTATAAAGATTAGCTATAAAAATATATTGGCAGTCACTTTTCTTATAAAGGTACCATGCACTACATTACAAAATAGTCTCTAACATAAAATTGCCTTAATAACTACACTATTTTAGAATCTGATAAACCTTAGATTAAACTGATTATAAAATCTTCTTGGAAAAACTTTGGTATGCATCTTTAGAAAGCTTTTTAAAAAATAGTATTTTAAGGGCCTGTAAACATTCCATTCTATCAAAGCACAACAGAATAAGTAATAGATATTCAACTGCATACAGAATATAGAATCAAAAAACAATTTATTATATATTTGTAGAAAATCACCATTACCAGAGTAAGCAAAAAACAAACCATTTAAAAGTATCAAACAGTTCTCTTTCCATTCTGATAAAAAAAAAATGTTACAAAATCACCGTATTCTATTCATGTACCTTAGAAACCTTTTAGGACAAGACCTCAAAAATAATTAACACACTCTCAAAAACTCTCTCAAGTCCAACAAACAAACTTTTAAAAACTCTTTTAAAAGATTCGACAATAGAACAAGTGTATGTAATCAGAACACATAATTTATGTATTTAGTAATGTGTTAGGTTTTCTTTTACATTTGTAATTTAGAATGTATTGGCAGAAATAAAATACACACACACACACAAACTGAAAAAGGTAAATTTCAGAAAAACAGTAAGAAATGCAAACCTATAGGGTAAACTGATTTACTTCTAAAAATCCAATTTACCAAATCTCATCTTTATCTGCCATTTTTGGACTGACAACTATTGTTACTTAGAAAATTCAAATTAAAAAAAAAAAGAAAGAAAATTCAAATTGCTGAAAGTTCGTTTCTTGCTTCTTGAGTATGTTTCATTTTTACAAAGCTTCCAGTTTTGCCAGTAGCTTCCTTGAGGTCACTTTCCACTTTATCCTCTGTCACCAGATATCTTACAAAGATATTTGAGTTGCAAAAGCCTACATAAAAAGCTCCACTTCTGACCTTTTAATTTATAAAACTCCACTAAAAATCAAATATAATTTTAGGCAAGTCCACAAAAATATTTTCTTTGTTAAGAATCAAACACTTTTATGGGAATAAAGATCCTTCAAAGTTTTTAACTCTTCTATTAGAGTCTTATTTTGATTTTCCAGGACTGCAACTCGATTTTCCAGGCATTTAACATATTCTTTCTTCTTTCTGCGACATTCTCGAGCAGCCTCTCTGTTTTTCATTAACCTTATTTCTCCTTTCAATTGGGGGTCATCTGTCTTAGTTGTCTGAGATGTAAGAGTAACAGGAGATGTCATCACCACAGTTTGTGGCAGAGAAGTAGCTGAAGGTGTGGTACGAATCTGATATGTCTGCATATCTCCCAATGCCGTCTGTACTACCACTTGATTGCTGTGCACAAGTATTTGCTGTCCATCAGAGGTCTGCGCATACTGGAGAATAGTTGTGCCTTGCTGAGTATTGCCTGAATTCGTCATGGTTAATGTCTGAAGTCCCTGTACTCCATCTGTCCCTGGACTGGCCAACTGTAAGGCTCCATTTGGGGCAATGGCAATGTACTGTCCACTGCTAGTCTGATAGATGGGAGTAGGAACGGACATAGAAGTGACAGCAGAAACTCCAGGGTTTTCTCCATCTCCTTTTCTGCCTCGTGTATCTTCAGAAGATAGATCTTTAAAAATTTTCCTGTACGATGGGCGCCGTGCTAGGATCCCGTGGGCTTTCTGTGAGGAGCCTATGCTGTCAGATGAGTCCTGAGACTCCTCACTTTCTGATAAAGATGATACCTGTTGAGCAATATGAGAAATATGGGCTCCCTGAACTGCTGAACCAGGCTGAGGTGCTGTCTCTGAAGTGTTATTCTTGTGGGAATCTTCCATAATCAACTGTGGCTGCCGCCTCGCCGCTGTCCGGGGCGGGAACTTCCACTCCCCCCTCCCAGGTGGATCCGAATTCACTACCCACTTCCCCAGCCCCTCACACGGCAGGGGACGTCCCTCCTTCTTGGGGGTCGGGAGGGGCGGGGAGAATAAGTGTCACTTAACAGCCAACTGTCCTAGGCTACCGTTCCCTCGGCAGTCAGGGCCACCAGTGGCGGCATGATCACCAGGCCGGGGCGGGGGAGGAGGGGGGGGCAAAACTGAGTGTAAGTGTGCGTGGGGGGTGAAGTTAAGGTTGTAGTATATTTTTAAAGGCAAATTATTTACATAGGGACCTGGCAAAGGCATGTGTGCCCAAGCGCTGACATGCCCTGGGGGGCCCTGACCCCCACCCAGTTTTCAACATCTGACTCTGCCATGTCCCCAAGACGTGCTCCACAACTCCCCAATCTCTGTCGTAACATATGACTAAGTTAGAGACCTTCTAGAAAATCATGAAAAAAATAGAAATAAAAAGCAGAACTTTGGTTTGGAATCAGAAAAGTAAATGAAAACTCTTCCACTGAGGTGTCAGTGGTCCCCTTTGGAAAGGACATGAGAGCCACAGGTAATGTTCATTTCTCGACCGGGAAGTGGCTACGTGGGGCTATTTGTTTGATGATAATTCATCGAGATGTACACTTACACGTTGTGCCCTTCTCTGGGTGCATGTGATATTTCAATAAAAAGTTTACCACAGAAAAATGAAAAAAAAAATTCACTTTTAGATTTAATTAGATTCTGGAGCAAAATTATTTTACGACGTAGGGTCCAGTGGTCTGGAGGACCATGTGCCCGCCTGGCCTAGGGATTAATGTGGCGGGTTGGAGGGTCAGCTGGGCTCTTCCTTCCAGCTCCCCCCAACAAGTCAACCTCGCGATTAAACTCAGCTCTCGCCGTCTCTCGGCATTTCCCCACCCTGCTTTATAAAATAGGAATTCTTGTAGCGGTTGTGTCCAGACAAGCACAATGGAGGCTGACACACGGGGCTTGGAGAACTTCCCAGAGGTGGTTTAAGAGCGATTATATAACATGTTAAGTCTGTGTTCCTTTTTCAGGCATAACTGAACTTTTGCCAAAATAACTAATTGCCAGTCCTTTCCCACTGACCCAAATACAAACACGGTAAATAAGTTACAGCTCTGAAGTGTACTCTAAATACAACAAACAAACACCCCCCCCCACACACACACACACACAAACCTGGCACCCCTGTGACATCACAGCCTGCTGGGGGACACCGCACGCCCCCTGCAGGGCACAGCCTGAATCACGGCTTCTTAAGTCATCCCGGCTGCTGTGAGAGTGACATGAAAGCAACCAAAACAACCACCAGAGAACGACTTCCCTCTTGCCCGCTGATGTTGGTCAGAGGAGGAAAACGAGTGATTGGACTAAGCTGGTGTGTCTCAAGCAGGCTCGCGTCCTTGCGCCCAAAGGCCTGAGGAGGAGCAAGCGCTGGACCTGAAGGAGATTTAATACCTTCCTTCCTTCCCTGCCACCTCCCTGCATTTCTGGTTTTCGCAGAACTCTGACTTTGTGGGGGAAGCTGAGAGTGTCCGCACCCGTCAGACGCTCGGGGGCCATCAGGTGACGCTTCTCGATGACCGTGTCTGGGGGTCAGGGCTGGAGCGGGCTCGGTGACGACAGCCGCTCGCCCCAAGCCACGGCCAGTGACCTCGGTTGGTGGCTGGAAATCAGCCCTGGTGGGAGCGTTCACCCCACAGAAATGGCAGGGAGAGCCCGCTGGGCAATGAGGAGCGGCACACCTGCCAGCCGGGCCAGGCAGCCCCCAGGCCACCGTGCAGACGGGAAGGGCGGTTTGTGAGGCCACCGGTCACCTCCTCTAACAAAAGCTGCCACCGTTTGGGCTCCAGCCTGCCTAGAAAGGGGCAGGCAGAATCCCACTGTGTTCTGGTCAGGTTCAGCCACACCTGGAGTGCTGTGACAATACTATAAGGACAATATAGGGACATGGCAACATAGGCACTGTGGCATACGCAGAATACCTGAAATACCCGAGTACATTTTATCTAGGAAAGGGATGGACCCCGTACAGATGACTGTCCACAATGTCTAGGGGACATTCATGCCTTCAGAAAATATGCATGGAAAACTTTCTGGGCGCAAAGTGGGGGTTCAGTGGGGAACAGGGTGCCGTGGGGTCTGCCCTCCCGAGTTTACATTCAGGTGGAGGAAAATGATGGAAACAAGTGGGCATATTTTTTAAAAACATGAGCTTAAAAACCCTGGGACGGAAATAAGAGAATGAGGTAGAGAATGCCGTAGGAACACTGCGGTGTTGTGGCCAGAGACGGATGGGATAGGAAGCCGAGACCCAGAGAAAGAGAAGGAACCGCAGGCGGGGAGACGGGCAGGGAGCGAGCTAGGTGGGGGCCTGGGGTGAGCAGTGGGGGAGACACGGGGGAGGGTGGGAGGGCTGGGGTAGGTCACGCTGGCCTTGGGGGCCGTGGGGAGGATGCTGGCCTGATTCCAAGGAAAGGGACAAGCCATCAGGGATGTTAGGTGGGGGTGGTTTGAGCGCGTTTATGTCGGGAGCAGACAGGAATCGGTAAGGGGGCCGTGCGCAGGGCCGCCGTGGCCTGGGGGCCCCAGAGGCCAGAGTCGGGGCCACAGGGGAGGTTAGGAGGAGGTGGCGGACCCCTGATGGGACAGTTCACGTGCACGAGACACTCTTTGGGTCTGATTCCCAGCCATGCCACGCGTGGCCTGCGCCTACCCCACCGGGTTATGGCATTAAAGGCGCCAAACACACAGAACCAGCAGATGCCCTTCCGGCCACCGTCTGCACACGTGGTGTGCGCCCTGGGCAGCATCCCTGGTGGCCCAGCGTGGCACAAAGTAGGTGCTCCATAAATGTTAGCTACTATCAATAACACTGTGTATTAAACTCCCCACGATGGGGCGAACTTGCACTGAGAAATGATGGCCACCCAGCAGGGTCATTGCAGGGGACAGCAAAGGTAGAGGGTGAATCTGATGCCCTCCTCCAAGGACAACTTATAATTCCTTTACTGTATCCCTGTTATTATCCCTTCTACCACAGTCCCTATCTTTATCTCATCCTCCCTCCTCCCTTTCCTGTTAACGCCTTTCTGCCCTGGAGCAAAGCAAAGGCAGGTTCTCACTTGTCCTCTAGGGAGGCCAAGGCCCGTTTGTTTCTGCCAGTAAACAAATCACTTCCCTGGGCCTGGGAGACACTGTGACTTGGAGTGCGGCTCCTTCCACGGAGCAGATGGCAACACCTGCCAAGCTCCTGGACATGTTGTCTTGTGGGGAACAAAGGAATACGCAAGCCCTGCTTCTGCATCGGGTTCTGACAGAAGCGTTCAGGGCTGTCGGTTACAAGGTAAGACTCGCTCACTCCTCCCTGCTCAGTCACTGTCCCCCAGCGTGTGTTGCTTGAATGCCTGTGTGCTAAGGCTGCTATCGGAACTGGGGACACAGTAGCACCAACGTCAGTAAGACAGACGAGGTCTCTGCCTTCTCTGAGCTCACATTTTCTAGATAAGTAAGACAGACACTTAGCAATAAGCAAACAGGCCGGGCGCGGTGGCTCACGCCTATAATCCTAGCACTCTGGGAGGCAGAGGCGGGCGGATTGCTTGAGGTCAGGAGTTTGAAACCAGCCTGAGCAAGAGCGAGACCCCGTCTCTACTGTAAAAATAGAAATTAATTGGCCAACTAATATATATATAGAAAAAATTAGCCGGCATGGTGGCGCATGCCTGTAGTCCCAGCTACTCGGGAGGCTGAGGCAGGAGGATTGCTTGAGCCCAGGAGTTTGAGGTTGCTGTGAGCTAGGCTGACGCCATGGCACTCACTCTAGCCTGGGCAACAAAGCGACACTCTATCTAAAAAAAATAATAAAAATAAGTAAACAGGTAAAATAATTTCAGATAATGATAAATGCTTCAACAAATAAAATAAGATGGGGAGTCATGGCTCACCACCTTGGATAACGTGGTTATAGAAGTTCAAGTTTTAAAAGGCATCCAGATCTAGTGCTAAGAGAGAAACAAAACAAGGCTGGAATAATAAAGGTGCCAGAGAAATGGAATGACAGGGGTGGGAGGAAGCAGCTTCAGTTCCACAGGGCTAATAAAATTTGCAGGCACTCAAGAGATGTTTCAAAACTATTTGCTAAGCTCAGTAAATGGACAGAGTCCTGAAATAAGGGTTAGACTTTCTGTTTCCAATTCCTCAATGGTGCTAACTAAGCATATTGCGTTAGATGTGATAGGAACTTGGTAAACAAATATTTGCTGTATTTGTTGGCTTGAACTGTTTTAAATTAAGGCAAGAAGTAGAACAGACTGAGGGGAAAGTTATTTGTATAGAGAAGTTCGTGGATGGTGAGTCTATGAGGGGCGTCATCCCTACATCCTCCCACCTCTCTGCACGCTTCCAACCAAAGCAGCAGCAATGCAGATAGTCGGGCCTGCTACAGAGGGGCCAGGACGTGTGTGGTGAGACAAAGTAGCCCAGACATGGAAACACTCTCTGGAAGGGACGGGGCGTCAGCCATCAACCACCTGCAGAGGCATCCACCTGGAGACTGTCTGGAAAGTCGAGTCAAGAAGATCCCAGACAAGTGCGACCCACACAAGCAGAGCATGAAACCAGGCTTGGGAGCTGGGCTGGAACCTTTCTTTCTCCCTTCCAGGGGGAGTGGTTTTCAGAGTGCAATAAAAGAGGGTCTCACATAGGGAGAATATTTACTGTCTCTCCAGGGAACAAATACGTATGGGTCTGCCAGTGTAATTATTCTTCTATTTGGCAAATCTGTGTCTCTAGTGAATACCACTATCCAATGAAATTCCATTGCTCAGATTTCTTGTTCATAAAACAACCTTATAATTTTGGGCTTCCCATGCAGCCTTCCCATGAACAGGGTGTACTGTCTAGCCAATACGACCATATAGCTGCCCATGGCATCTCTATTCTTACTAAACAGCAATCATCAGCATTCTGGTTTATACATCAATCTTGTGTGAGATTTCTTAATAGGAGTCAGTCACTTTGAGCCTGATCACTTCTGAGGGCACTGACCAAATCAAATTTCTTTACATGAGTGCAACTGAGGACCAGATCTGGGTATTGTTTTCTTAAGAGACCATTCTGCAATCCCATTACTGGCCATCTACCCAAAAGATCCAGTGACACTCTA